AGCCTCTTTGATTTGTGTGGATAGATGTGAATGGATAGTCATGTTTAACGACTTTACTCAACATCTTGAGTATTCTTTTCTACTAAGGGCATCAACTACTACATTGGCTTTACTGGATGATAACGAATTTTGCATTCTTAATCGTTTAGTAGCTCCACCCAATGTTGTTTTCTTATGTTCAGTTCTTTCTGGTCAAACATATGCTGAAGACTTTTATGGTCCGTGAATATTGTACATTTCGTGCCATAGAGGTAATGTCTCAATATCTTTAGAGCAAATATCACTGCTCTAAGTTCAAGGTCGTGAGTTGTATAGTTGACCTCATGCGTCTTAAGCTATCTCAAGGCATATGATATGACCTTTGCTAGCTGCATAAGAACACGACCTAGCCCTTGGTTAGACGCATCGCAATATACTATAAAAGTCTTTTGTTCCTTATGGTAGAGACAAAATAGGTGCACTGCACAGGTCTCGCTTTAGCGTTTGGAACGTTGTTTCTTGTTTCTCTCCCCAGCTAAAAGTTACACCCTTCTGAGTCAGAGTGGTAAATGGTTTAGCAACTTAGGAGACATTATGGATGAATCTGCGATAATAGCTAGTAAGGCCTAAGAATTGGCGGATTTCTATAGGCATTTTAGGTGCTGACTCGTTCTCGGTTGCCTTTATTTTGGATGGGTCCACATGTATTCCCTCTTCACTAACCACGTGACATAGGAAATCTACTTTCCTAATCCAAAATTCGTACTTTGAGAACTTCGCGTATAGTTTCTCTGCTCTCAATGTTTGCAAGACTTATCGGGGATGTTGGCTATGCTCCTCCTCACTTCGTGAGTAGATAAGGATATCATCTATGAAGACTATTACGAACTTTTCCAGGTATGGCCGACACACCCTGTTCATCAAGTCCATGAACACTGCGGATGCATTTGTTAATCTAAAAGGCATCACTACTAACTCGTACTGACCATAACGAGTTCAGAAAGCTTATTTGGTAACATTTTCCTCTAAAACTCGTAATTGGTGATACCTGGATCTTAAGTCAATCTTTGAAAAGAAACTTGGACCTTGTAGTTGGTTGAATAAATCATCAATACAAGGTAGAGGGTATCGGTTCTTGATGGTAAGTTTGTTTAGCTTGCGGTAGTCTATGAACATACAGAAAGATCCATCCTTCTTCTTCACGAACAAGACCAGTGCTCCCTAGGGTAAGAAGCTTGGTCTGATGAAACATTTGCTTAGAAGTTCGTTCAGCTGGTTGGATAGTTCCTGTATTTCTGCTGGTGAAAGATGATAAGGTGATTTGGCTGTGGGGGTAGCTCCAGGGATTAAGTCGATTCTGAAATCGACTTGTCTTTCTGGTGGGACTCCTGGATGATCATCAGGGAAAGTGTCGTGGAAATTACAGACTTCGGGAATGCTCTCAAAGTCCTTCACTTCTTGTTTCTTTTCTACCATGTGAGCTAGAAAAGCACAATACTCCTTGCGAAGATACTTTTGCGCCTTGATACGAGAAATGATTTGTAGGTTCGTGTCGGATTTGTTGCCGTAAATGATAAGGGTTTCGTTACTTGGCAGGTTAAGGCGAATAGCTTTCTCATAACATAGGATGTCGACACGATTATGACTTAACCAATCCATACCAATGATGACGGCAAAAATTTTTCTGGATACCGGTATTGGGTTGATTGGGAAGGAAACATTATTTAGATTAAGGGTACATCCTATGTATATATCGTTAGTGCACTCAGTTTTCCTGTTGGCCATTTCTACAGTGAAGGTTTCTTTTAGTGGTTAGGAATTTTGTTTAGGTAGGTGTTCGAATTTATGGCTCACAAGCTTTTCTCAGCACCGCTATCAAATAGAATGCATGTGTATGAGTTGTTGAGAAGAAACGTATCCGTGACCACAGTGGGGTCTGCAACAACTTCCTCGTGACCTATAAGCAGTATTCTTCCCACACCACCGACATTTATCGCCTGTGGACAGTCCCTTTTGAAGTGTCCAGTTTCACCACACTCATAACATGCCCAACTTACCCCAATGCCAGGAACTTGAGTGATTGGTTGTGCAGGTGACCTATAGAAACAGGCAGTGTGCCCCTTTCTGTTCCAGTTCTTACAGTACATTTCATGGCAATTTCCTATGTGATGGAAATTACACTTGTTGCACTTCAGTAAGTTTACAGCATACTGCTCTGCTGGGGAAGGGTTAACAAGAACAACAGCAGGAACAATAGCAACATGAACAACCACTATATGCTATTTCTTGGAAGGCTCTTGGGAAGATTGACCCTTCATTTTGTTCCAAGACTTTTTCTTGTTGTTGTTGTTGTTGCCTTTGGGTTGTTATGGAACGACAATCATGAAGCCTTGACGAGCTCCATGATCTATGAATGACTGTGCCAGACGTTTGGCACTATCAAATGTATCAGGATTTGAAGCTAGCATGCTCCCTTGGATCTAAGCTGATAGTCCCTAGATATACCTTTCAATTTTCTTTCTCTCTAGAGCAACCATTCCAGGACATAGTATCGCCAAATCACTGAACCTATTGGTGTAAGTTGTTATGTCTTTGCCTGTCATGGTTAGGCCCCAAAGCTCTTGTTCAAGTTTTAGTACTTCACCCCTCAGGCAATAATCTTGCATCATCATTGCCTTCAGATTCTCCCAGCTCATTGAGTTAGCCACTATAAGAGTTATTGACTTTACATGGCCATTCCACCATATGAGAGCTCGGTCAGAAAAGGTGCATGCAACAAATTTCACTTTGCTCCCTTCATGGCATGAGCAGATCTCAAAGTTTGCTTCAGTTTTCTGTATCCATTGAGTTAGAGCCATGACTCCCCCAGTCCTATTAAAGGTTCTAGGTTTTCCATTTGTGAAATCCTTATAAGAACACTCCCGCAAGTGTCCATGACTTTCACCATGATTTGAGGGATGAGCACCAACCCCAAATCCACTGGCACCGGTTGTATTTATTTGTGACATTACGGCTGCCACAACTATAGTGATTGCTGCCTAAACCATAGCAGCATCAAACTGTGGAGGTGGTGGTGGAAGTGGTGTCGGTGCTGCATTGACAATGACATGCCTCGAGTTCTTTCTTGGAGGCATCTTTTGCTTCAAGATAAAAAATGGAAAGGTAGTAAGACGTCAATAGTGATTATAAATAAGATGTCTTTGAACCAATTACACTAGTTCATATGTATTCTGAAAGAAGTTGATATAGAAGTCTACCATAAGGAATAACTTGTAAAGCAAAAATGTGAAACACTACTTGCAAGATGTCATCAGGAAGCCTAAAATGATATTGGATGAGATGAAAGAATGTATCTAAGGGGAAATGTTAAAGAGCAAGGTGGAGCTATTGACTACTATTGGTAGAGATGCAGACAATCATTCTACCCAATAGCTTGGGCAGTGGTTATAATTGAGAATAAAGACAATTGGTCTTGTTTCATTGAGTTATTGGTGGATGATTTAGATCTTGGTGGTGGTAATGGGCTAGTTGTTGTTTCAGGCCAACATAAGGTATCTATATTATGCCTTTCAATAAAATATTATACAAATGTGTTACTTATTAATTTGTTATCATATTACAGGGACTATTGCAGGCTGTGACACTTTTTCTTCCACATGTTGAATATAAACAATGTGTAAGAAATATATTTGCAAAATTTAGGAAAAGATACACAGGATTGGAACTAAAGAATCTGTTTTGGGAGGCTATTAAAAGTACAGTAGAATGAGGCTTTAAAGCTACAATGGAGAAGATCAAGAACATCACACTTTTAGGTTATACCTATCTAATGGCAAGACAACCAGAAACATGGTGCATGGCCTTCTTTACAACAGGATTTACATGTTAGGTTGTAGAGAATGGAATTTCAGATTGCTTCAATTCTATGATAAGGCAAATGAGGAAGAAACATTTACTTACAATGCTTGAGGAAATTATAATTTACCTAATGGAAATGGTTTATCATCAAAGGGATTTTCCTAACCAATGGAGAGGTGACTATGGCCCAAATACCCTAGAAAAACTTACAAAATTTAGAAAAGATGAGGTAAAATGTTAACATATTAACTGCTTTTAAATTGGCTATAATATTATTACATATAACTGGTCACTCACGTGTTTATCTTGTAGGTTGTGGAAGGTAATACCAAGTGTAGGTCATTTATTTGAGGCTAGGTATGCATATGATGGGTATAGGATGGATTTATATCATCATTCATGTACATGCAAAATGTAGATGTTGTTTGGAATACCATGTGTTCATGGTCAGGCAACAATCAACTATGTGCATAGAGATCCTCTTGAGTTTCTTTCTCCCTGGTTCCATAAGGACAAGTTGATTGCAACATATATGGACAATATGTTGCTTGTTGGTGGAAACGATCTGTGGCAAAGGACTGATTTCGTCAAGCCACTACCACTCCTTGTGAGGAGAATGTCTGGGAGACCTAAAGTAAACAGAAGGAAGCATGCTTCTGAATCTCAAGACTCTAAATATCCAACTCAAAGGGAAAAGATACCTAGGACTGTCGGATGTGGAAAATGCCTACAAATTGGGCATAACAAGCGTTCTTGGAAGAATAAAGAGGTTCCAAAGTTTGGGAGACCAAGGAAAGATGGAATTGGTCAACCATATTTTGACCACTTCCCACCTAAAAGGAATGGAACAAGGATAGATGGTGAAGGACAAGCACTACTCCTAACAATGTTCAACAAGAAGAAATTCAACCTATACAAAATATGGGGGATGATGTACCAATTAAAACTAGTCAAAATGTACCAGATGAAGGGGGATAAGGTGGGTAGTCAAACTACTCAGCATGAGAATGTGGCTAAGCAACCTACTCCTAAGAAAAGGATAAAGATGAATGTAAGGAGGGGGAGGGAAAAGCAACATCATTAGGATGAATTAAGATACTATTGTTGGTGAAGGGACAAGATATGTGTCCCTTACTTATGAAGAATTCATTAATGACAACTTAATGGATACACCTTATGTTGATAATAAGATGACTGAGGTTAAGGTGAAAGTGCATGATGTTGTGGTGAATGAGACTGCAGATGAGGTGAACGAGATTGAAGGTGAGGTGAATGAGACTAAAGGTGATATGAACGAGCATGTGGCTAAGGTGAATGAGCTTGAGGCTAAGAGGAATAAGCTTGAGCCTGAGGGGAATGAGGCTGAGGTGAATGACCTTCAGGCTGAGGGGAATGTGGTTGGGGTGAATAAGCTTAACGACATTATAAGAGACATGGTTGAATATGGGTATCCACGACCTGAAACTTAGGTAACTATGCAAAAGGTATGCAATTTACATGTCCCTATTTAGATGTTCTTGTCATTCATATCATGATATCTATTTGCTTATAGGTTAGAAAGGAAAGACATAAGATGAGGGTTGTTTCACTTTTGAAAAGGATGAAACATTCTGAAAGAATCATAAAGATAAATCGAAGCAAGAGTGAATGTGTTTCATTTTCTGAGAAGAAGAGACCTTATATAAAGGACAAAATATTGTGTTTGGATTAGCATGTATGCATACTGTAGGGGGTAAATGGGTATAAGTATTTAGTTTCCCTTTTTGAACACGTATCCCTATATCTTTTGGATGAGCATGTTTTATAGTATAGGGAATGATCATTAGTTTTTTTTTCTACCCTTTTAAAACATATATCTTTTGGTAATAGGTTTCCAATTCATGTCTAATAAATTTGATAGAATTGGAATCTTGGTTCTAATTGTTATTACCTAATTATGTAGTTATGTTGGTACTTTGGTCATACTGCATTGTATTTTGTGGGATGTTATTATTGGCCAATGATAAAATATCAGCTACTATTACCTTTGGTTAACAATATATAGTCTTTTTAAGTTCATTATCTGGATTGTTTTTAATTGAATTTACATTGTAAATTACATTGCCATATAAGGTCATTGACATATGTTTGGGCAAAATGTACAAATATTAACCATCATAAATAACCATCATATTCATTGGGGACATTTCCCATTACATGACCTGAATTACATCATAAAACACTACTACTATGCTTACATGTAAAAAAACTACATAAATATCAAAAGATCTCCACCACCTTTATAAAAAACACTGTCATGATCAACTCATTTCCCAAAACACTAATGCCTACATCTTCAACCTATTTGAACCATCATTTTATGAACCATGAAACCCAATAAAATCACCATCACCAGAAGAAGTAACAACATGATCACCATCACCTTCAAAAGTGTCAACATTATTCTCTGACATTCTTTAGCTTCATTTGCTTGTTCCAACTCAACATACAACTTCCACATTGTTTCCTTGTGGTGATTATCTGGCAGTGGCATATCAAGCCACAAGAAAAATCACATTTTTTTGTTATGCACAGTGTCAAAAATGATTTTCCTTTGCCTTAGTTCTTAGTTTGATAGCAACAAAATCACAAAAATCGAGTCATTTTTACCTGATAGTTAGGACACCTCAAAATTTTTGCCCGGATTTTCATCTGTAGTGGAGATGGAGAAAGTGGCGATTTCATCACAATCATACCTAAGCTCTTCAGCCCATCGATTCCTTGATGCCCATGCTCTGTACAACCCATAATTTGAAGACGAAACCATGCTTTACCATTGGGAAAGATGGAAGGAAGAGTGTGCGTGACCTGCTTCTATCTCTCAAGCGTTCATAAATAGGATTTGAAACCTTAATGACTGTATGAAAACGGTGAAACCGGCTAAAAGGGCTTAGCCAAATACTCAACGACACAAAATGGCCACAGTGACCGAAATTTAAAGTGACTTGTTTTATTTTAGATACCCATATAACGACTTGTTTATATTGGCACGCTGAGCAAAAATTTAAAGAGGTTGTTAATGTCAAAGGAAGGGACAATAAAATATAGGAACCGTTAGGTCAATTGAAGGATGTTCGATGTGAAATATTTCGGAAGATAGTGTTTAGTTATTTATTGGATGTGCCACTGCTACAAATGGACGAGTTGCTAATTCGTAAGATGTTTCTATATCGGATACGCTAAACACGATAATATGTATATATGGACAAAAAGATTGAATTTTATGGTTGGAGAAAAGAAAATATATTTAGCCATTCAATCTTTTGACTAGAGTCTACCCCCTTTGATGGAATATTGGCATTACTAACAACTGGACATGCTGGTAAATGGGACATACCATACAAAAAGGTATCCGAAAACCTAGGTTTAGGTTCATCAACCAACGCATCTCCATTAGAACTACTTTCTAAGTCAGATATATCTAAATAAACATCCACAATACCAGCAAAATCCTCGTTACTATGTAATTTTCATCGTTTTGAAACATAACCTTTTTTATTTTTATTTTATTTTTAAATTTCATCTACTACACCACCATCATTAACTTGAACCTGTCGTTGTGGACTAGTAACATAACGACCATCCACATAATTAAGATATGTACCAACATCATTATCACCAACATACTCATAATTTTGAGGATCCACATAGTGAATAGGTTAATACACTACATTTATATTTTCAAAAACTCTATGAAAATAAGATACAATAGGAGTGATAAAAGTACCTATCGGGCTGTTGCTCATTTTCTCGTTGGACATGTTTGCAATATGTGCTTTTCCTCTATCATCACATTCTATAGGAATGTCAGTAATGCAAATAAGGACTCAAACAAATGTAATAAAACGATAAGGTTTGAAGGAGGATCTAAAGCTATAGGAAAGATGCTTACAACGAAGTAGTGTGATGTTTGATTGGAATGAAAATTTAAGGTTTGATATGAATGCAAAAGGTAACCTTAAAAGTTCCAAGCTGGGCCCGGGTCGTGATAAAGAATGGATAAGGTCCGAGAAGGATGTTCAATGTGAACCGGGAGATGGATGCGAAAAGGATTATGATTGCAAAAGTGATATTGAGTGTGAAAGTGGTCCAAGTTGCTACTGGATGTGAACTAATGCGGATGATCGCAACAAAGAACAGTCCAATGGTTATGGATGATAATGGATGTGAAGGACTTATTCGATGCTGTAACATCCGAAAAATACAACCAATTTAATTTTTCCAAAACAACCCGATTTTCATTAAATTGTTTACAAAAAGGTTTTCAATACAAATCATTTAGAGTATTCCCAGAATCACATTGCTACAAAATCATGAGGAGCGGTACGATCGCGCCTTCGCCTTGCCACGGTCTCCTGAAGAACCTGAAAAACATTAAACCACAACTGTAAGCCCGAAAGCTTAGTGAGATACCCCCAAAATACCAACCACGTATACGCCCTTCCAGTCCAAAACATATTGCCTTCCGGCCCATAACATATAAACATACATAACATAACAGAAAATAGAACAACCATGCATATCGCATCTACTGTGTGACTGGTCCGCCGTATCGGGCCTTCAGTCCACCGGATCCATCCTCCAGGTCTAGTCATGTCCTTAGAGTCTACAGTGGGGTTGGTCCGCCCGTATCGGGACTTCAACCCACCTGGTCCACTCTCTGAGTCTAGAGTGTGACTGGTCCGCCCGCATCGGGCCTTCAGTCGGCCTGGTCCACTCTCCGAGCCTCGGCACGTCTGGTCCGCCCTCGTGGGGCCTACAGCCTATCCGGACTGCTCGCTGGGCCTTCGGAATAACCGGTCCGCCCTGGGTATCTTGGCCTACAACACAAAGCAGGACCCGCCTCAACCCATCTCCAGTCCAAACAACCATGTGCACAAAACATACAATCATATAACAGTCATAGTCAACAAACCGAGCAAGCAGATCACATAGCATATCGTTACCCTAACTAGGTTACCGACTTAACCGGTCACTAGCATAGCGTCACTCTATATATCGGGAAACTGACCTTAACAAGGTCTCCTAGCATGTACCATCCTAGCTACCAGGATGCAGACACATCAAACAATAACATAATAATCATATCCGAATCTCAATCCAATAAAGGGCCGACCTTGGTGCCTTAGACCCTGTTGATATAGTGAGGATAACTCACCTCGAAACTGCCGGCTGAAAGAATAAGATCCCGCTGCTCCGAACTCTGACACGAACTCCTTCACTGAACATCAAAACATTCAACTCAATATATATCCTTATTTACCAAAATACCCCTGGAAGACAACTGGTCAACCCCTGACTGACCCTACTCGCCGAGTCATCCCGATGACTCGCCGAGTCCCTAAGCTCAGAACTTCCCTCAATCCGCGACCTGACTCGCCGAGTCACCCCGAGACTCGCCGAGTCCAACCACTCTGAGTCTACTCTCACCCAACTCACCGAGTCATCCCTTGACTCACTGATTCATCGACTCAATCAGAAATATTGGGACTCTTCGACAAGACTCGCCGAGTCCAAGAATAGACTCGCCGAGTCTAAGGCTATGTTCAACCTACTCGCCGAGTTGTTCTTCCAACTCGTCGAGTTCCAGGCCATCTTCAAGCAACTCGTCGAGTCCACCCTTGTGACTCGTCGAGTACCACCGATCTGAATCCATACAGAAGCATCTCAGGCCATGCAATTGATCCAAAACATAGATCTAGCCCCCCTACAACCCATCCATCACGTAAAGTGGCAAACTTTACGTGAATCCATGAAGATCTAAGCATAATACACATTAGAACTAAGGTTTGGGACATGATAACTCCATTAACAACACAAGAACAGGGGCTTTAATGCTCTTAAGATCTTCTCCACTCCAGATCTGAGGTAGCAACCTCAGATCCATCCTTCAAACATCAAGATGCCACACAACTAGGGCTCCCCACACAACCCCAAAATAAGAATCTAGGATAACACAGCCCAAGAACGAAAGTATTACCTCCAAAGGATGCCTCAACAACAATGAAACTCGAATCCAAGCAAAGCCCTTTGATCCAAGCCACTTCTCCTTCAAGATTTCTTCAACCAACACCTCTCCAAGCTCTAATTTGCTCAACAATGGGACTCTCCACGAAATTAGGGTTTCTGGGACTCAAGGGGGGGATAAAGGAGGCTGTGGAGGAACATAATGATCTTTATATAGGGCTCAAACCCGAGAATTAGGGTTTTCTCCACACAGCACCTACTCGCCGAGTCCATCTTTGGACTCGCCGAGTAGGCCACTTGATATGCGACCAAAGTCGCGACTTGACTCGCCGAGTCTATCCATGGACTCGCCTGACTCGCCTAGTCGCCCTCCGAAACTTACTCTTTTAGCCCTTCAACTCTACTCTTGCGATGCCGGGGTGTTACAATTCTCCCCCACTTAAATTAGGCTTCATCCTCGAAG